CGTGTGGTAGGATTAGTCGGACTGATTTAACAAACCCTGAGCTTGGTTTTGAGGCTAATCTCATTCCGGTGCCATAGGGTGGTTTCGGAGCTGCAGAAACGGCGCTCGGCCCGTGTCAATGCGCCGCTTTGCATCATCATTGGCTTGTCCATTAGGCAGGATGGTGGAGGGAATGTTCCGCTTGATCAAGTGGTGTAGCGGACATCTTAGTTTTGTTAGGATACTTGGGAGTTTGGTACGAGAAACGTCACTTGATGTTTCGTATTTTGAGAGCACACCTCTAGCCTTTGCACAACCAAGTGCGGTCTGAAAGGCAGCAGAAGTGAGAAGGTCAACGACTTTAGCTTTACGAGGCCAGTCACACCGACCTTTGTCAAGGCATTATTATTATATTAACACCAATCTTGACAGATACGACGCCAAAAATCACCATGGGTGAACGAAAAAAATACAGGTAAGAAAACGGGAATAACAATACAGACAACTTCGGGGAGTAACAATTTTTGTTTGTTTACTGCACGCCATTTTGAGTTTTTTGTTGTTTACTTTTGGGATTGCAAACGGGAGAGGACACATTCGCGCCACTGACTTCGGTTCGATGCCATATCCCGCAGTGCCTCCAGCCAAAGACGATCTGAATCTTTGGGGCCCCAGCCAGGGAGCCGAGAAACCCCAACGGAAGCCAGATCCGAACACAATCTCTTTAACCCTCTGCGCCACGTCATGGCCTGCCCACCTCGTTGCTTCTTCCAGCCTGGACCAACGTCTGCGAATAGTGCACGGTATGGCATACGGTGCTCAGGCATTCGTAGGACGTGCCCTAGCCACCTAAGACGATACTGTGAAATGATTTTGCCCAGAGGAAGACTTTCTGGTCCCAGCACCCGTCGTCTGACTTCATCGTTATTCACGCGGTGTTCCCACCATACGCGGGCGATGTTGCGCAGACAGCGGTTGTCGAAGACTGATAGCTGGTGGATGTGATCTGCTCGGAGAGGCCAGGTCTCGCAGCCATAGAGCAACACGGTGCGTACCGTTGCGCAATACACACGTCCTTTCAGTGAAAGGGATATATCGCGCCGGCGCCAGAGATGCCGCAGATTAGCGAACGCTAATCTAGCTTTGATCACGCGTTGAGAGATCTCCTCGCCCACACCTCCACCAGCTGTTATGCAATTCCCAAGTTAGACAACGCTTTCGACTACTTCCAGAGTGTCAGCATCCAGTGAAAGTGCAAGGATGGGTTCTTGCGAGTCTTGCAACAACACTGCACTTTAAGGTGCAAATGACATACCATAACGAGTAACCTCAATAGCCAAACGATTAAATGACTCTTGAATCGTTGGTGCGATGTCAACCAGTAAGGCAATATCATCGGCGTACTCTAAGTCTACGACTCTGTCCCCAGGAAGAAGCGCGATGCCA